CTTTAAATAACTAACAGTAAGATTTGAAAAGGCAAATGAGGAGCAAGCACGGATGTCTTAGTGCTATTAAATACTAATATTACTTGTTTTTAATATTAATATGATAGTGGGAGGATAAAAATGTCCAGCATGTCAAACGCACGTATCGAAATTTTTCTTTGATTGTCGTACACAGCGAATCAACCTTTTATACTTAGACCGATCGTTGAGTCCCAATTTTTTATATATATATATATATATATTTTTTTTTTAAATCCCCAAAACCCCCATTAAACCGATGACTCAAATAGATTCATTATGTATGTTGCGAAAAAACTGCTCCGCCAGTGCAACATACATAATGAATCTATTTGAGTCATCGGTTTAATGAGGATTTTGGGAATTAAAAAAAAAATATATGTATAAAAAAAATTGGGACTCAAGGATCGGTCTAAGTATAAAAGGTTGATTCGTCGCGTACGATAATCGAAGAAAAATTTTGATACATGCGTTTGACATGCTGGACATTTTTATCCTCCCACTATTATATTAATATTAAAAACAAGTAATATTAGTATTTAATAGCACTAAGACATCCGTGCTTGCTCCTCATTTGCCTTTTCAAATCTTACTGTTAGTTATTTAAAGGAGCTTTCTATAATTGCGATAAAATAACGCTGTATGATGCATACTTTGGCGTGGTCCAATCTCTTAAAGTTACTTTTCTGTGATTTATCTTAATTGATGATGAATTACAGATAAACGAATCGATCATTAATTTAATTGCTTTGGTATATTTAAATCTAATCGATTTTATATTACTTCTCAGACACAGTACAATTTACTAAAAGTTGCCTTAATGGGATGCTGAAGCTGAAAACTACCGACAGAACATTTTTCTGCAAAGTTTACGTCGCATTGGTTACACATAATTACAAATGCTTTTGCGCAATGAAAGTACGTGCAAAAATAAATAGGAGTATATGCTCGATATGTGACAAAAACAAATAAAAAATTTTGAATGTAAAATCTCAAACTGTCAGTAAGCGTAATATTTGTCTAATCCAAAAGTTCCGCAACTTGTATATACTGAAATTGTGGATGCTCCAAACAGAAAAATTTTGATAAACATTGCTCTACCTTCGCATTTGCATTTGGAAGCTTAAAAATATCGAAAAAGTTTGCAGAAAGATTTCTAGATATATATGATTAGATTTTCTGTTGAATATGGTAAAACAAAGCAACACACATTCATGTCGAACACACATTCATGTCAACACACATTATCGACATTGTTCGAGTTCGTCATCGACTTAAGCATCCCCTTAATGATATATATCTTTAAGACATATTTTAGTAGTTTGTACTTATTTGGTTCTTACACAAAATTTAAAAGACAAATAAGTTTTCCATTAGAATAGCTAATGGATTGAAACGGAGAGGTTGTTCAAGTACGTGATCAATTTTATGAAAAATCTAACGCGAGTAGAACACATTTCTGTTGGAAACCTGGAGCCAATCCAACATGAAAACCTAGAGCCAATCCAACATGGATGACTCAAAATGACAGTAAAGTTTGGGTATTACATTAGTTCAAGTAGATTCTTCTAGCGTACGATTCAATGGATTACTTAAGAAAGAAAAGATTTTCGATTTTCCATCATGTCTGATGTCCCGAATTTTCAAAGTTTCTAAGTTCCCACGTTGGCATTCTCTTCGACCACATTTCCTCTGGCCTTACATAAATACAAAATGTCGTAGAGACAATATTTCTTTTTATTGTTGGCGAGGCGCGAGCTCGACGCTATGGTATAAGTGTAACTACGCGCAAGGCCGTAGGAGTGCATAATATCGCCAGCAGATGTTTCCGTTGTATTACGAATGATTTATTATGTTAGTAGATTACATTTTTTTTATACTTCCTATAAGAGCGCCACGTTCTGCTGAAGTAATAAGGTTACATACGATAAGTGCTTCACGAAACAATAGTAATCGGGCGATTGGACGTTATTAGATCACAGGATTTTATTTGCGAGATTAATTTCTTTTTTGGGAGGATCTTACGATATATTTTACGGTATATATTATGATATAATTTATGAAGAGAATTAAAATACTTTTAAAAAATAATATATTATTTGATCCCTATTGCTGTTTCAGATTTTCTTTACTCCAATTAACAGGTTATTAAGGGAATGAAGTGATATAGTTAAATTTATCACAATTATACAGCCCCCTTGAAAACAATATTCCTTCTATGTCCTCCTTGTCCTATGTCAGTTCCCTCGGAAATCGAAATTAATACTTTTGATATAGTAGAACAGTACGCTGTCCACTACACTAGAGGCCTCACTCACTCACTAAATAAATTGATTTTTTATTTCTTAGATATTTTTTTCTCACCCAGCGTGCTTTTTTTCTAAAATTCCCTGTACGTTCAGAGAATATCGCGTATCCTGTTTTACTTCTGTCACAGCAAAGATATTATACAGATGTTATTCAGAGATGTTCCACAAGGCGCGCGGATGGTTTCCGAACGAGAAAATTAATATGATTTTTTCGTATCTATTCATCGAATAAAAAATTAAAATAAGGTATAATAAAATCGAAAAATTTGTCTGACACAATCGGAAGTCGTAGTGTATGTGTATGTGTATGTGTATGTGTATGTGTATGTCTCGTGGATTATACCTAACTTATACTCAGATATAATCCAAATCTAGCGACTTCTGTATATTTAAAAATTTCTTCTGAAAGTTTCCAGTGATTTAGTGAAGCGAGAAGCTCATGGTAGAGCATGAAAAGAATTTTAAGCTGCATCTTCAGTGAAAAGAATAGTGAAAACTATACATGCATTCTTTTCTCTACATTATTCTTTTTGCTACATTATCCTTTTCTCTACATTTTTTTGCTACATTAATCTTTTCATTGAAGATGCAGCTTAAAATTTGATTCTTTTCATGCTCTACTAAGACAGGTTACTAAGACTGTTCCCTAAAACTTTTTCTGCCCTTTCATCTTTAATAAATCCTTTTGTGTATTTTTGAAAGATGTATCATAGTAGGTGCACCAACAAAAAAAAATTCTCGTTGGAATTCGTCCATGAAATTCATTGTTTTAACGATCTACATCTAACGAAAAATTTTGACGTACTATTCGTCTACTGTTTCCATTATTCGCGGGTCTTTGTGAAACAGAAATGGAAATTTTTTAACATTTTATTAACTAGAGAAGGAAATTATATTTTTAAGAAACAGTCTAATATCATTCTTTACAAACTTAGGTTAGTTACTTATGAGGTTAGCAAGAAAGAAGAAATAAGGCGCGTGTTATTCTAAAGGAAACTTTGTTCCATGTTGAAATGTTTGTACACGAGTCACTTTCATGTTTCGGGCATAGAAAAGTTAAAAGAAATTTCAAAAGAAGAATCTACTTGAACTAACAATTTAACATCCAAACTTTACTCCGTCTAACGGAGATCGTTAAAGATGAAAAAAAATGTAACATCAAAAAGTTCAGTTCATAGACAAAAAAAGGAGAAAATTCTTCGCTTTTCGTTTTTCTCACAGTATGCAAAGTATAATTTGCCAGACAGCAGGGAGTCTACAAATTTGTTAAGCCTTCTTCTATAATGAGTTTTAGGGGACTTCCCCTCTTTTACGCTCTTAATCCTATTTGACCGTGTACCCTGCCAAATGTCTCCGCTCGTTGAGCGCATTTATCATTCGGAACATGTTCTCGAATTCTTTTCACGATGACAGCGGTGAAACATCAATAAATGCAAGCCAATAAAATAACGACGGCAAACATGAAAGAGTCGTAAAATAATGGCGGCGAATACAAAAGAATCGTAAAATATTAAAATTTTAAGAAATCTAGATAAATTATATCAAACGGTCTTCGGACTAGAGAGTTCTCGCGTTAATTCTCCCGTCACCTTAGTCTCGCTTTATCCTCAATATCCAAAGAGCTCAAAAGAGCTTTTGGCCTTCAAAATTGTGCACGATCGATGTTCAATACGAAAGATTTCATCTCGGATTCCTCGACGTTCACATGAAAGGTTTGATCGGATTTTGCTCGTTATCCCTGACGAGTCGCCCGTTCTCTCTCTCTCTCTCTCCCTCTCTCTCTCTCTCTCTCTCTCTCTCTCTCTCTCCAATTCAACTCTCGCGTCACCTTCTTCCGACGACTACGTAGTAATAGTAGCTGTACGCGCGGCGACTGTGATTCCTCCTTTCATTCATTAATCCGCGAGCGGTTGCGAGTATGCCGACTGACGGCATTAAATATCCGCTCGGTCGCTTCTCAGACGGGAGACAGTGAAAAGAGGGCGACGACGAAGAGATGTGGATTGAAGAGAATGCGGGGGATGATGTGTCAAGTAACGGGGATGGTTTGTGCATGGTCGTCCCTAAATGACCCGTTTTTGCCGTCTCCTTTTCTCTCTTCCTCTTCCCTCCTACCGTTACCTCTTCTCTCTCTCTCTCTCTCTTACATTACCGTCTTTCTTTTTCTTACGTACCTCGTTGCCTTACCTCTTTTCGTATCCTCTTTTCTTCTTCTCGATGGACCTTCTCAGGCCTCCGCTTTTACACTTCCTCTCCGCTATTGCACATAAATCTGCTATGTAGCAGATGACGATGTGTGTATGTGGAATGTCAGCCTGCGTCCGTACGCGAAGTTACGACATCGAAAAAATACATCCAATATAATACACTACAATTCATAAGAATTAACTATATTATTATTATAAGGTATATCTATTCCTCGCTGCAAACAGAAAAATATCATTCTACTGCTGAGAAATACGATTATTTAGTTTACTTTTTCTTCTTATTTTGAATAATGATTATCTTCAACAAAAAATATTTTCTTGAGAATAATACTCAAACACACTCACCATGTACTACGAAAAAAAATCTATTTATGGGATATAAAATTTATTTATTTTATTATTAAAATATAACATTTATTTACAGAAATAAATCTTATATCCTATAAATAAATTTCCAAATATTTTTTTTAGTGCAAATTTTAAGAAAGTTCATTATCATGAACTTCATTACTCAAAAGAAGAATTTAAGCATCTCTTTGAATATTATAAAATTTTATCGAAGAAGAAGTTGGCTCTACTTTATATAGCACAATTCAAAGTTTTATTTTAATACTCTTGATTGAAATGCTAAATTTACTAGGATTCAGAGTGTGTTTCAAATAAACTTAATGCTTACGATGAACTTATAATATAGATTTGCAGATAAATTTATAAAATATTTGAAACAAGTAACATTTATTTGAATATATGTTTTTCTGTGTGCAGCGTGGAATTGTTTCTACGTTAACGCGAAATACTTAATCGTGATAAATCCTCAAGTTTTGCAAAGTGAATATAGTCGCTACATTCGTTCTGGTCACTACAGGAATCGCAAACGGTTTTCTCGGTCAACACAAAGATAAGATTATGTTAGGTTAGGGACAAGCCGGTTCAGTTAGAAGCAGGTTGGTCGAGTTGGGGATGAGCTGGTTCAAGGTATAAGGTTTGAATTAGACGGAGGTACGCGCACACATACACACACAATAAGTGTCCATTTTGGGGCAACGACGAGTGCGTTATACGTGAGTTGGCCCTTCGATTTGCATTGTAAAGCTCAAGATAATATACGGAATGCTCGACCATTAGATAGCTCTTTAGCTCACAAGGAAGAATGTTGGAGTACTCCCAACGACGTCTTTTATTTTACTTATTTAGTCAAACAAGGAATACGTTGGATACGTAGAGCATATAAAAATAAGTGAAAAATATCTTTTGTGCGTGTTCTTTTGCATGGCTAAAGAATGAAAAGACTCTTTGAAGATAACTGCATGCATAGTCGAGTTTATCGAATTTCCTTTGAGAACTTATTTCGGTCCCTAAACGAAGGAAATATAAAGATAAAATATGCATCTCATATTTTTTTTATCTTTGAAACGTATCTAGAATCGATTATCGTTTTATGTTTTTCTTTTGAAAGGAACAGTTTCATGCACATGTGTTTCTTTGTTAAATAAGATACCGAGCTATCTAGGAAAATTTCTTAAGATATGCACGTTTCTAAGCTGTTCATATTGGTCAAACGTTTGAGATACTGACTCATGTGTTATCTAATTACACCCACATTATGCCTAACATGATTTGCTGGCTTAAAAATGTCACTAAAGAGGACATTCCATTGTTAAAACTTTCATTTTCGGAAATCTCGTGAAAATATTATTGAGAAACTTTACTTTTGTAGCAAAAAAATTTGAAAATCTTAAGTTTCAACACAATTCCATCAATAACAATTCTATTGTAACATCATAAAATTTATAATATCAATGTTATAATAAGTCTCATAAAAAGTACAATGTAATTTGATAATATTCTATTTATCTTTTTCCGACATTTAAAAATATTATATTTTCAATCCAATATTTTGTAATCTCTCATTCATAATAATTATTTTTCAATAATAAAGAATATGTTTTTCTTTACTAAATTACATAAAATATGCAAATATTGATGCTAACAACTTATTTTTGTTTGCAACGCTATATAATCTTATTTGAGGGTTACAAAAGTAAAGATATTTTCAAAACAAAAATGTTGTCTTTTTTTGTGCAGTTAGAGAATATTTAATTGATTGACGTAATTCTTAAGAAACACATTTCAAAACGCAATTGCTCCGATTCATTTTAAAATTAGGGCAATCTCAGATTTCCTTCGATAAATCGCAACGATTATGTCACTGCGAGATTTCCCGTGCAACTTATCGTCGTTCATGTATCACGAATAGTTACGTTTAATCGCGCAGGATGATTTGTCGAGAGGCGCACCGAGAATTCACACAGCGATAATAGTAAGAGTCGCATGATAACGCATACATGTGAGCCAAGTACTAATCTGTAGATAATATCAACAAATTGTTTGAAGGTTACTCTTCGATAGCCATATTAACGTTTCCTATTTAGACTTTAAATCGGATGGAATACGCGCGCGCAGGAACTCTTTTGCTTTCGCGAATCAATACTTACCTCGAGATGCGCGATCGCGAACTTGGAAAGTAAGGAAGTTATTTGTAATCATTTCCAACGTACGATTTGTTCTATAAATTTTCACCTGGTTCTGCCGACATGTACAACGGGGAGAGCGTTTCAGCGCTTTAAGTGTGAATTGTTGATTGAACGAATAAGCGACTAAAGTAAATTAATATTAAGTTGGATTGGTTTGGAATTAGATTTATTAAGCGATTAAAGCTGGATCAGTCAAGATTCACTTTTAGTCGCTTAATAAATAATAATAACACTCGCAAAATTGTATATCGCATCTTATTACTTCGTGGGATTCTCTTCGCAATAAAAACTTCGAGGAAACGAGTCTCTTAACTTCGTCTTGAGAAGAATTGATTCTCAGCATCTTTGTTTATGGTAAAAAAATAGTATCCATCATGATTCATGCAATAATTTCATGCAATGATGAGGACGCCTGCAAAGCGGCGAATAGAAGGATGTGAAAAGGAGATGTGAATACTGAAAAAGGGACAGGAAGAAAGAAAAGAAACTATTAGTAAGGCTTGCATTTTTTGACATTTGTGAAACAACCGCCCAAGTAAGAGCTGACCTGCTGACTGAAAAGAATACAAAAGACTAGAAAAGAAACAAATGTAAGAAAAATATACGAAGAATCCTGACAATGGGATATCTTTACCTACGTGCCTTTACCTACGCATCTTTACTTACGCGCCTTTTACGCATCTACGCATTTTTACCCTTACAAAAGCGCGGGAAACGAGTGAAACTGCGAGCTACTGAACGACGAACAAAAGTGAATACTTCAAATGGATCCAACTTCAAGATTCCGAGCGCGTCGCGACAACAGCCAAGCCTGCTCCTTGGGCAAACGTTCGCGATTGCGAGTGAATTTTGTATGTTTGCGCGATTAACGTAACGTTATGACTCCACGGCGACATTATTCTAGTCGCGTAGCCGGTTCTATAAATCTTTAGCCGGGTGACAGAGTACTCTTAAGCGCGAGACGCGGATTTTCTGCGATATGTGTTTGCTCCCTCTTCTCTCGCTTACTCATCTCTCTTACTTGTCTGCCTTTCTTCGCGCATTATTTGCTCGCGTAGCTTTCTATCAACGAACGTGTAATAAGTAATAATTCGGGGCCAGGTAGTCGAAGATAAGGTAATTAAACAGTTGCTTTGGAATTCTGGAGGTTCTTGACAGTCTATCTTATCGGACTGGTTGCGAGCGTGGAGGTGAAATGTTGATGAGAAGGGTAGCGGGGAAGGTACGTCAAGATTGTAGTTTATACTGTCCGCGTGAATCCTATCATTTCTCTACGTTTGTGGAAGAATAAATCCGTAAAGCCCGTCGCGAGATGCTCAATCATGTCCCTGTCAAAGCGAATGTCAACGAGCTTCGCACTTCGTCACGATGTCGTCATTCGATAATTCGATTGCTCTCAGATCTCCCAAATTCAGCTGTCGACCAATATGATCAAATGGTTGACTTACGATAATCGCGAGATATCGATTTAATCGAAAATTATCTGTTATTTGCATCATAATATGGGAGATCAAAAAATGTTCAAAATTTCGGTGTCAAATTTTTTTGATAATTAAAATAGGTGCAATTGACAGTATAAGTATATTAAAAAATTTGTTTTCATGCGAAACACAATTCTGTAAACCGTATTTTTTTTCTTTCGATAATTGAAAAATGCGAAAGTGTAGTATTAGACGAAGCCGCTCAGGCACCGAGGAAAATTTGTAATATAGAAAAATTAGAGTATAAATAAATTAACATTACATAAAATACGTACTTTTGTGTAGCTTGAAAAACATTTCATTTCTCTCTTCTTAAGTTATTTTCTAATAAATAAGATTTATTGTTATTGCTTCCGAAAGAAGAATAAAGATATATTTTTAGCGCCAGAATGTAGTGACTTCGGTTTGCTTTAGCAACCGGCACTGCCATAGTAAATTTTATTTATTAAAATTAGAATGTGGATTTATTATTTTTTACATTTTATATTAAACTATCAATATTCAACATATATTATATATTACATATTATAATATGTATATTTTCGATTATCAATTATTCAACATATAAATATAATAAGTATATTAAAAAATTTGTTTTCATGCGAAACACAATTCTGTAAACCGTATTTTTTTTCTTTCGATAATTGAAAAATGCGAAAGTGTAGTATTAGACGAAGCCGCTCAGGCACCGAGGAAAATTTGTAATATAGAAAAATTAGAGTATAAATAAATTAACATTACACATAAAATACGTACTTTTGTAATTTATATTAATTTATATTTAACTTATATTTATGTTGTGATACATTAATATAACTTATATTTATGTTGTGATACATTAATATAACTAAACCCTCTTTATTAATATAATTAATATTTATTATTAATATAATTAAACCTTCTTTAGTGATCTTAACAAAATTAGGTTTAAGTAAATTAGAACGCAGCTTAAATTAACAAATCGCCAAATGTCGCTTAAAAAACACATCAGCAAACAATACAGAGTATATTTAGCTATGAATCTAACGGGTTGACTGTAACCTGACAATCAAACCGTCAAATCCAATAACGACATTGACCATCAAAATTCATACATTGATACGAGTATGAAGATCGGCAGAATGCCGCAGTATTTGAACTAAACCAAGAAAAATGTCCATAGTTAAATACTAATATTGTTAGCATCCAGACATTGGTATTTCCATCTTGTTGCTCTGAAACCGACGGGATTGAATAGTGAAAGTTTTTCTTTAGACAAGCGAGCA